AAATGGCTGGGTGCACAAAGCTCAACCAGTCATCACCAATTGAGGCCACCTTCAATTTTATTTTATTTTATTTTTTTTAACTAATGGGTGAAATCATTGATAGTGTTAGTTAGTATTTCTTTTCTTTTTTTTTTTTTTATCCTCACCCCAGGATATTTTTCCATTTTTTGTACAGATAGAGTGGGAGGGAGAGAGAGGAAGGGAGAGAGAGAGAGAAACATCGACGTGAAGGGACACATCGAGTGGCTGCCACCCGCACAACCAACCAGGGCCGGGGACAAACTGCAACCGAAGTACGTACCCTTAGCGGGAACCGAACCCGGGTCTCTCCGGACCGCAGGCCGACACTCTAACCGCTGAGCCAAACTGGCCAGGGCGCCACCTTCAATTTTAAAAGCAACAGCTTCACGTGCAAGTGTAAAATGTTCTCACTTGGTCTAATTTAGTCAAAACTGAATTATTTTACAAATAAGGCAAAAAGACCTCTTCAAATATAGGTTTTTATTCTCTAATGTGTGAAAAAACAAGAGAAAGATATATTCAGATAAAATGTCCCTTATACCTTCTCCTCCCACATGGGAACCTGCCTTCCCCAACTAACCTACTGAATGGAGACGATTCCTTTGCAAGGACTATTCGTTTCACTTAAGGTTGTGCTTATTCAAGTCTTTATCAGGGGCCCATGATTCTGCTTGTGTAATTTAAGTGAAATTACATTTAATTATTCATCGAAGCCAAATAAAATGATCCTGTTTCTAGCCTTCCTCATGAATCCAACAGGATATGTGGAAAAGTTCAAGGAACATGAGTTTTGGCGTCACAAGGGCCTGGTTCTCCATGCAAGCGTCCCCTTGCATATGGCTGTGGGAAGCTAAACAGTCTCTCTGAGCCCTGTTTCCCAGCTGTACAATGAGTGTTGCCCACCCTGAAGGGTTAAAAAGATAAACACAGAAAAGCATCAAGCAGTGTACCAAAGACGTTAAGGAGAATCACTACCCTCCTTTGCTCATCTCTATGGTGTTTCTGTCCAAGTGACCACCAGGTATTTTTTTAAGTTTTGTGAAATAATTTGTAAGAACATGAAAAATCCTTATAAAATGTTAATAAAGACAGGATACAAAATCAGATCTTAGTATAATTCCAACAAGTAAAAAATACATAACATCTCATGAATACAAAAAAGACTCAAAGGAAATATACACTGGTTTCCACTATAGTACAATTAAGTACGAATGAAAGTATATCGGAAGTGAGCTATACATTGCTCTCTTAAAAACGTTACTTATATTTTCTAAACTTTAAGCTGAACTTTTAAAATTTAATAAATGTTTTGCCGATACATCTGATAAAAAATTAATACCCAAAATTTATAAAGAACTTATAAAACTCAACACCCAAAAAAACCCAAACAATCCGATTTAAAAATGGGCAAAGGACCTGAACATACACTTCTCCAAAGAGGACATACAAATGACCGACAGACATATAAAAAGATGCTCAACATCACTAATCATCAGAAAGATGTAAATTACAACCTCAATGATAAATCATCTCATACCTGTCAGAACGATTATCATCAATAAATCAACAAACAGTGTGGGCAAGGAGGTAGAGAAAAGAGAACCTTTGTGCACTTTTGGTGGGAATGTGGACTGGTGCAGCCACTGTAGAAAGCAGTATATACTTCCAAAAATTAAAAAGAAAACTGCCTCCTAACCCAGCAATTCCACTTCTGGGAATTTATCTGAATAAATCCGAAATACTAATTCGAAAGAATATATGCACCCCTATGTTCACTGCAGTGTTATTTACAATAATCAAGATTTGGAAGCAGCCCAAGTGTCCACCAGTAGAGGAGTGGATAAAACAGCTGCTGTACATTTAAATATATAATGGAATACTACTTGGCTATAAAAAAGAAAATTTTACCCTTTTCGACAGCATGGATAAACATGGAGAAAATTATGCTAAGTGAAATAAGCCAGTCAGAGAAAGACAAGTACCATACGATTTCACTCATATGTAGAATCTAATGAATAAACTGAACTAAGCAAAATAGAGACAGACTCATAGATAGAGAATAGGCTGACAGCTCAGTGTGGGAGGTGGGGGGACAGGGGGAAATGGGAGTGGAGGAATTGAGTTAAAAAAGGAAAAAAAAAAAGAGAAAGAACTCAAACACCAATAGTGTGCTAACTGCAGGGGGTGGGGGGGTGGGGGAAGGTGGAAGAGGGTGTAGGGGGGTATAAATGGTGATGGGAGAAATATAAAATAAAGAAAAAAAAACTTAATAAATGCTAGCTTTTCTTGTCCTTTATCTGATATATGTCTGTGACCCATTCCTAAGAAGTCCCCACTGAATTCCCAGTAGGCTCCCTGACTCCATTCTGGCCAGGATTTCTGCCTGACTGCCACGGAGGGCAATGCTTTCCTTCCAGCACGTATCACTTAATCAAAATTAACCCAATCACATAATCTAAGTGGCTGTTGCCACCAGAGCCCTAGTCCAGAAGAGATACTGCCACACTGTAGTGCAATGAAATGCTCTAAAAAAAGAGTCTATCTTTTAGTTTAAGGGGGGAAAAACCATCCTGGTGTTGTTCTATTCTCCTGACCTTAAAGCAAATAAAAGGGGAATGAGGGGCAACATGCAACACAAAGGCAGAAAGAAATCCCATCTCAAACCAAAATAGCTATTTTGGAATAAGTCACTGAAAAGTTTGGAGGCTTAAAACAACTCATCAGCCCAGGCCAGTTTTTCTCAGTGGTTAGAGCATCAGCCTACAGACAGAAGGGTCTTGGGTTTGATTCCTAGTCAAGGGCACATACCTGGGTTGCAGGTTCGATCCCTGGCCCTGGTGGGGGTTGTGTGGGAGGCAACCGATCGATGTGTCTGCCTCTCACATTAATGTTTCTTTTTTTTTTATCCTCACTTGAGGACATTTTTCCACTTTTTGTTCAGGTAGAATGGGAGGGAGAGAGAGGAACAGAGAGAGAGAAACATCAACGTGAAAGGGACACATCGAGTGGCTGCCACCCGCACGACCAACCAGGGCCAGGGACAAACTGCAACCAAGGCACGTGCCCTTAGCGGGAACCAAACCCGGGATTCTCTGGACCGCAGGCCGACGCTCTAACTGCTGAGCCATACCGGCCAGGGCTTAATGTTTCTGTCTCTCTCCTCCTCCTTCCCTTCCACTCTATCTAAAAGAATCAATGGAAAAAATATCCTCAGGTGAGGATTAACAAAATAAATAAATAAAAGAATCAATGGGGGAAAAAATCCTTGGATAAGGATTAACAAACAAACAGACAAAAACTCATTAGCACAACTAACAAAGCGCCCTATATGCAAGTTATTCAGGGTCTACAGTTTATTGTGGACTTTCAGGAAGGAAACACCACTGGTCCTCAGTGAGGCTATGGACACACTGAGCAGCCTGGCTTTTTTTTTTAAAGATGCTCTTCACCTCATATGAAGGAGGAGCTCTAAAAAGTGCCTTAATCACTCTAGTACACTGCTGGTGGCAATGGAGACTGGTGCAGCCACTATGGAAAACAATATGGTGTTACCTCAAAAAATTAAAAATTGAACTGCCATTTGACCCAGTGATCCCACTTCTAGGAATATACCCTAAGAAGCCTGAAACACCAATCAGAAAGAATATATGTACCCCCATGTTCGTAGCAGCACTATTTATAATAGCTAAGATCTGGAAACAGCCCAAGTGTCCATCAGTAGACGAATGGATAAAAAAGCTGTGGTACATGTACACAATGGAGTACTATGCAGATGTAAAAAAGAAAGATCTCTTATCCTTTGAGATGACATGGAGGGACCAGGAAAGTATTATCCTAAGTGAAACAAGCCAGAGAAAGACATGTATCATATGATCTCACTTATTTTTGGAATGTAATGAACAGTCTAAGGAATGGGGTAGTCCCAGAGACATGGAAGTGGGGTACAGACTGACAATCCCCAGAAAAGGGGGTGGTGAGGGAGAGAGAAACCACAGAACTTATATGCATGTATGCATGAACAATGGACAAAGACAACAAAGCTGGGGACAGGGTGGGGAGGGAGGGGGAGGAGGGTGTTAATGGGGGGAAAAGGAGAAACATCTGTAACAAAAATGAATTAATTAATTTAAAATAAATAAATAAATAAATAAAAATCATGTATCTAACCAGAGATGTGGAAGTAGGGTACAGACTGACAATCCCCAAAAGAGGGGGTGGTGGGGGAGAGATAAACCACAGAATTTATATGCATGTATGCATAACCAATGGACATGGACAACAAAGCTGGGGACAGGGCGGGGAGGGAGGGGGAGGAGGGTGTCAATGGGGGGAAAAGGAGAAACAGCTGTAACAAAAATAAATAAATAAATAAATAAATAAATAAATAAAATTTAAAAAATAAAAGTGCCTTAATCACTGAATACTTTGGACAAACCAAGATCATTAGGATTTCATCTTTTGAACCTCACTTGGTTGTTCACACCCACAAACAGGCAACAATTATGTCAGTAAGCAGCTTTGCATGAATATTGCATATATACCACACACCAAACAAGATGTTCTGGTTTAGCTAGGCTCTCCTTAAAAGGCCCAGGAACAAGAGGCTGCCCCTTTAGGGCTAGAAGGCTAGGACAAGAGGTCAGAGAGACAGGAGGGACATAACAGTTAAGCTGCTGCACCACCTGCTGGGCCAAAAGTTACCCCTTACTTTAAGGGAACCTCTTACTGCTCCCATTTTTATGCTGATGACTGTCATTATCAATTTCTTTGCTCTTTAAACATAATACCTTCTCTATAAACTTAGCTTTTAAAATAATTTTATTCAAGAGGGTGCATCTTAAGACTATTACCAAATCTCCAACAACATTAAGACAATTTTTGTTTTGTGATAAATGAGCACCAACAAAATACTACATCTTAAACACACAAACACACACCTCTTCAGACACATAAAGAGAGAATAGGTACTTCCTCCTTACCTGAGCAATAGCTGCCTCATTATCAGCCAGTCCCAATAAAAAGATCCTCACTTTGTCGATCTTGACTGGGACTGTTCTCCCTCTCCATTCCACTTCACTCATGGTAGCTGCCTGTTTGGCTCGAGTCTGAGTGATCAATGCCTGGAAAGTAGTTTCAGAAAGTTCAAGATTTACCTGATAGATACGACCCAACTAAGGTAAAATAAGTAGAAATTAGTATTGTTTCTTTCTATAACACCATTATACCTTATAAAGTGAGTATACACAAATTTATATTTAAATTGTTCCTTGGCTTACAAAAATTCAAATTTTAAAAGGATAAAACAAAGTTAAAAAGACCATCCCTAATTCTGGTAAGAGTGTAAGGAGAAAAACATATCTGTATATACCACAGGCAGAAATGTAAATTAGTAGAAACTTAAAATATTTGTCAATATGTATTAAAAGTTTCCAAAACATTCAATTCTACTTTTAGAAATTTATCCTAACAAAATAATCAAGAATGTGTAAGAAAACTGGGGACATGGATATTCATGGTAATACTGTTTAGCACTTATTAACAGGGACATGGTCAATTAAAACAGTCTTCAGGCCCTGGCCGGTTTAGCTCAGCGGTTGGCCTGTGGTCCAGGGAGACCTGGGTTTGGTTCTCGCTGGGGGCGCGTGCCTCGGTTGCAGTTTGTCCCCAGCCCTGGTTGGTTGTGCGGGTGGCAGCCGCTTGGTGTGTCCCTTTCACGTCGATGTTTCTCTCTCTCTCTCTCTTCCTCTCTCTCCCTCCGGCTCTGTCTGAACAAAAAGTGGAAAGAAATGTCCTCGGGTGAGGATAAAAAACAAAACAAAACAAAAAAACAGTCTTCAGCCCTGGCCAGTTTTGCTCAGCGGTCAGAGCGTCGGAACTGTGGTCCAGAAAGACCAGGTTCGGTTCCCGCTAAGGGCATGTGTCCATTGCAGTTTGTCCCCGGCCCTGGATGGGTCGTGCGAGTGGCAACCACTCAATGTGTCCCTTTCACATCAATGTTTCTCTCTTTCTCTCTCTCTCCCTCCCACTCTATCTGAACAAAAAATGGAAAGATGTCTTCGGGTGAGGATTAAAAAAAATAGTAATAAAAAAAAATAAAAGTCTTCAAAGGAGTACCACGTGGCCATCAAAAGACAATGATGTAGAAATGTATTTACTGAAGTAAAAAACTGCATGTGACCTATTTTAAAAGAATATTACTAAAGAGTGTATACTGAGATCCCATTTTAAAAATACATGCCTTTTTTCTCTACACATATAAATGCCTGCAAAATATTCGTCACATTATTAATAATGACTACCTCTGGTTGGAACCTATGTGATTCTATTTCCCTCATCTTCTGTATTTCCTACATTTTCTATGAGCCTATACTGCTTAGAAAATAAATGTAACATGGCAAAAAAGTCGAACACTTAAAAATATTCAATGAAAAAAGGTTTTTGCCAAAAAATACATAGATATAAGTAAATATGTATATATTAATAGAAATTATATTGGGTGATATGGAATTATGGATTACTTCTTTCTCCAGACTTTCTTAAAACCACTTTTCACAAAATGTACACACTAGATTACCTCCAATTTTTCAGCCAGGAGACCCTCGGTGCCCCCAGACCTCAGTCTCATCTGCATGAGCTCATTGATAGCTGACTGGTCCCCTGAGGAGGAGAGAGAGAGACAGAGAGAGAGAGACAGAGAGAGCAGAAAATGTTCAAGGGTCTGGTCTGGCCTCTCCAAGAACACCAGGTTCACCTCGGACATGAAGGAGCTCCCCTGCACAGCACGTGCAGTGACTCCCAGGCCTGGTAGGAAGCTTCTTGGAGCCAAGATGGCAGGGTGGAAACGAAAGCAAAGGCACCGCCTTCTGTGATTTGGAGTCGGGCTGACTCTGACAGTTCTACCTTTTTCATCAACCAAAACCCACGTCAAGGAGGAATAGAAGGGAAAGGGAAGCACGTTCCATCACTTCCAGGCTCTCGCAGATGGACCACCCAGCCGCCCACAGTGCTCGACGCAGGGCCTGCTCACCAATGTTGTATGCACAGTAGCGGATGTTGGGCGAGATCTCTTCCACACGCTGGTTGTACAGCACGGCCTGCTCCTCTGTGAAAGCACTGGCGAGCTTCTCGTAGATAGTTCTGCGAGGAAAGAAACACCAGGTTTCCCAGCAGCCTTATTTTTAAAAAATGAATTCACAAGGAACATGGTAGCTAAAAACAAAACATGGCACTTTGAGGCCCTTATACCAACTCCTGGAAATGGCATGTTGTGAGGATGAAAGAGAATAACCAACTATTCTAAAGGGAAAAAAAAACAAGAAACTGTACTAACTTTCACAGAAACAATCATCAGCTCATCTGAAGCTCGAAGAACATGACTATCTAGGATCAGAACAGGCTACAACCCTTGGATCGGAGGACTTACTTGCATTTGTTAAAAGCCTCAATGGCAGCTTTCCATTCCTGATGTTCAAACCGCAGCATTCCTGAGAGGTACGCCGTGTAAGCCTGCAGCATGACAGGGAAAGAGTACCTGCTTCAGCACCCAAGCACCAGCTCAACCTTCAAACTTTCGTTTCGAGAATACAGACATTCAGGTTGACTTTAAAAGAGAACAACTTTTCACTGATCAAATGTGATGCACAGGTAATTTGTTATAATTCATTTATTTCCTAGGAGAGAACTTCAAAATAAAGAAAATTTGTTTTCTTCATCTGACTTAAAACCAGCTTCTGGGCTATACTGTAGTATTAAAAGTTTAATATAAACTTGCAATATCTATCTCTCATAAAAAATTCTTATTTGTGAACTCTTGTAAATATAAGATGAAAACTTTCTATATACATATCAAAATAAACACACCCTGGCCAGTTTGGCTCAGCAGTTGGAGCGTTGGCCTGCGGACCAGAGACTCCTGGGTTCGGTTCCCGCTAGGGGCATGTACCAAAAAATAAAATAAAATAAAAATAAACATGAGCTTTCTTTAAAAGTTAGAGCTAATTATTAAAAACCAAGAGCTCAAAAATAAGAGATATTGCACTGGCCAGGTAGCTCAGTTGGTTGGAGCAACATCCTGTACACCAAAAGGTTTCAGGTTTGATTCCCAGGCAGGGCACACACCCAGGTTGCAGTTCGATCCCTAGTTGGAGTGTGTACAGGAGGCAACAGATCAATGTTTCGCTTTCATATTGATGTTTCTCTCTCCCTCTCTCTCATATCAATAAACATATCCTCGGGTGAGAATTTTAAAAAAAGAGATTATTAACTTCACCATGAAAAGCCAAGCTCAGTTTTCCCCCTCTCCTATCAATTTACAACCTAAGAAACTCTGTTGTGTTTAACTATCTTTTTTAAGTCACGTCTCTGATTTCCATAATAAGGCAAGGCCAATGCGAAGGCACTCACCTGAGCCTCTAACTTGGTCTTGGCATCCACGCGATTGCTCTCACACAAGCGCTCCAATTCCTCTGCATGTTTCACAGCTTTGCGTAGGCGAGACAGTAAGTGGAACCGTTTTCGGGGTTCAGTGTTGGCTTCCTGTTTGAGCTGCATGGCATAGCTCCAGGCTCTTTCAGCATCCATCAGAACCAGAAGCAAATATCTAAACCAGAGACAAGAACGAGCGAGTTGCACAATAATGGCCAGGAACATCAGACTCATTCTCCAAGGCACAATCTTTGACGTGCACCTTCTCTCTACACACTCCCTGGCTCTCCTCCTAACTGCTCTTCTCACAGTATCGAGCATAACTCCCGAATCAGCATCTCTGATCCCGACTCAGGCTCCACCTCAGGTTTCTAACCAACCACCGATTCATCTCATTGAAAAGCCTGCTCCCACCTCAAACAGCAAACCTAGACTGACCCCTCCCAAATTTTAGCAAATAGAGGCCATCCAAGCACAGTCTGGCCTCACCTTTGAATCCACACCTCCTTCATCCAACTCCGTTAGAAACCAAGGCCTGAAGGGGCGATACACGGAAGTGGTTAAGAAAAAGGCTCCGGAGTCTGGGTTGGAACCTCAGTGCCATCGCCCCCTAGCTGTGTGACTTTGGCAAAGTACTCATCTTTCTGCTCCTGACTCTCCCATGTAGTGATACATGTAACACACTTAGACCAGAGCCTGGCACTTAGCTAAGTAATAAATAAGTTAGCTACTTTTTTTTTTAATCCTCATCGAGGACATTTTTCCATTTTTTGTTCAGATAGAGTGGGGTGGGGGAAACATTGACGTGAAAGGGACACATTGAGTGGTCCCTACCCACACAACCTAACCAGGGCCGGGGACAAATTGCAACTGAGGTACGTGTCCTTAGTGGGGACCGAACCCAGGTCTCTCTGGACCACAGGCCGACGCTCTAACCGCTGAGCCAAACTGGCTAAAGTAAGTTAGCTATTTTTTGAACTATTGCCTTTGCCCAGCCGGTGTGGCTCAGTGGTTGAGCGTCAGTCCATGCACCAAGAGGTTGCCAGTTCGATTCCTGGTCAGGACACATGCCCAGGTTGTGGGCCTGATCCCCAGTAGGGGGCATGCAGGAGGTGGCCAATCAATGTTCTCTCTCATCACTGTTTCTCTCTGTCTCCTTTCCTCTCTCTAAAATCAATAAAGAAAAAATATTTTTAAAAAATTGTTTAAACTATTGCCTTGATTCATCTTCCTTAAATGTCAGTTTAATCTCTCTCCAAAATAAAGGTTCTCACTATTGTAAGACTCTTCCTAACTCGATCATACCAGATTTATTCAAAACGTCCTGCCCCATCCCATCACGGTCTCTGTGCTCTAGTTTTCTGTCTCCACACAACACGCTCTCAGTCTCTTCGCTGCCTGAGCAGAGGCTAACAGCTGTTCAGAGCATGAAATTCCTGAGCCCCACGGACACCACAGCATGACGTTTCCCCTGCCACAGGCTGTTCTTTCCTCTCACAAATCCTTCATGGTCCAGCCTCCTCCTTGCAGACTCCCTGGCTCCCTATTAAGAACCTCAAGCTAATCTCTCCCCTCCAATAATTCTTAAGTGGCAATGACACACACTATGCAGTATGTTGCTATCTTGCAGTATTTCCTGTTTGGATTTAACCATTATCTCTCAAGATCACAGTCAACAAGGTTCAAGAACTATGCCTCCTAAACTCTTCCACATCCAATATGTATCTAGCTCAGTCCTGGCCACACACTAGACCAGGGGACTGCAGACTTTTTCTGTAAAGGGTCCAATAGTAAATATCTTAGATTCTGTAGGCCAAATGGTTTCTGTCACAATCACTCTGTTATTGTAGCACAAAGCAGGTGTAAACAATATTAAACGAATGGTGTGGCTGTGTTCTAATAAAACTTTATTTACAAGAACAAGTGGCAGGAGTACCAATTTGGCCCACAGGCCAAAGTTTAAGGAACTGACCTAGAGACATTTGATACTTGTTGCTTGAGAGATTAATTCTTCGGCCAATACGAAGCCTGGTGCATCCAACACTGAAGCACAGACCTGTCCTGTCATCCCTGACACACAGCCAGACTTCCCGTAAGGTACACTGATTTCAGCAAGCACTAAGATGCTGCAATTTGCATTCTAGAAACCTTACCCAATAACTGATTAGATTTTAATCACTGACGTTAACATTTACCATTCCACCACAGTTCTCGAACAAGTTCTTAAACTTCTTTGAGCCTCAGTTTCCTCATCTTATTATAAAACACAGCAATAGTAAAAATGCCCATTCCACAGAGCTGCTAAAAAAATGACGAGGCAATTAATCGGTCTGGCATAATGTCTGGCACATTGTAATTGTTCAATAAATGCATTAGCAAAAAGTATTCAGCACTGCCCTGGCCAGTTTGGCTCAGTGGTGAGCTCATCAGCCTGTGGACCAGAGAGTCCCGGGTTCGGTTCCCGCTAAGGGCATGTGCCATGGTTGCAGTTTGTCCTCGGCCCCGGTTGGAGTCGTGTGGGTGACAACCACTCCATGTGTCTCTCTCTCACGTTGATGTTTCTCTCTCTCTCTTCCTCCCTCTCTCCCTCCTGCTCTATCTGAAAATGGATGAAAAATAAAAGTATTCAGCATCTAGCACTGAGCAACCAGTACCTATTATCAGTGAGAAGATCTTCAGTTACTTTTTTCCCTGTGAATTTGTGTCTGTTCCCCATCTTGAAGTTAAGTGTTTTCCGGAGACGTCTCTGTCTACGGGAACAGTAGCCTCTGTAAGAAACCAGACAAAAATCATTCAGCCAAGCTGATAGCACTTTCAACAGTAAATTCTGTAACAAGGTAAGCTCAAAGGATTAACACGTTCTACTTATGGTTACTATAGACACCACACATCATCTTGCAAACATTCACTGAACTAAAACATGCAAGGCTGACTGGCATCACAGAAAACACGGAGACAGAGGACATAATACCCATTCTCAAAGAACCCATTCTCTGGTTGGGGAGGATCATGCAGATAAAATGGCAACCAAGAAAACAAGGCAAATATCAAATTGAATGTAAAAGACATGAGTAATCATTCTCTTCTTCTTAACTTCTGCTGGAGCGAACTGAGGATGGGTTTTGAAAGAATGAGTAGGACCCTCTTATGCCAAGCCTCCCTCTGTTCACACAGCTCTTTATTCTTACTTCTATTATAGCATAGAACACTATAATTAAGTTTTTAACGTCTGTCTCACTAATATAAACTCCTTTAGTGCAAAGATGATTTTATTTTAAAATTTCTTAGCACACTGCCTAACATATAGTAAAAGTATTTTGACTAGTGTGAAAATACATACAAAATTTACCAACCCTTAATCAAATAATATAGCATAGAATTTATAATACAGAATAATATTCAAATGATACTCTAGCATCTTAGTCCTAAACCTACTAGGGTTCAGCTTATTAAAAAGAAAAATAAGCCCTGGCTGGTTTGGCTCAGCGGTTAGAGGAGCAGTTCTCAACCTGTGGGTCGCGACCCCTGTGGGGGTCAAACGACCCTTTCACAGGTGCAGCCTAAGACCATTGGAAAACACATATTTCCGAAGGCGATTCCTAACAGTAGCAAAATTACAGTTATGACGTAGCAACAAAAATATTTTTATGGTTGGGGGTCACCACAACATGAGGAACTGTATTAAAGGGTCGCGGCATCAGGAAGGTAGAGAACCGCTGGTTTAGAGCATCGGACCGCAGACCAGAGTCCCAGGTTCGGTTCCTGCTAAGGGCATGTACCTCAGTTGCAGCCCCGGTTGGGGTCACGTAGGTGGCAACCACTTGATGTCTCTCTCTCTCACGTTGATGTTTCTCTCTCTTTCTCTCTCCCTCTCCCTTCCACTCTATCTGAAGATAAATGCAAAAAAGGTGTCCTTGGGTGAGGATAAAAAAAAATAATAAAGAAAAATAGTAAGTCTAGTTGAATCTATAAACTAGATCTCCCTCAACTCATAATTTTTGCTTTAATCATCATTCACCCTTTTACATAAAAATCAAATGGAGCCCTGGCCAGTTTGGCTCAGCAGTTTGAGCATCGGCCTGAGGAACAATGAGAGCTGGGGGTAGGAAGAGGGAATTAACTACAGGGGAACTTTTTGAGATAATGAAAATGTTCTATTTCTCAATTTTATAGTGGTTACCAAGGTGTATCAGGATGATGCTCTAACCAACTGAGCTACTTGCCCAGTGCTATATAGTGGTTACCTAATTGTGCACATTTGTTAAAATTTATCAAACTGTACATCTGAAAAGGATGAATTTTTACATATATAAATAATACTTCAATAAACACAACTTAAAGAAAGATGAGAACATGTCAAAGGACACAGTAGCCAACATAAAGGGGCTTACTGGCCAAATCTAGGTCAATCAGAACATCAAAATATATGTGATAGTATCAGATTACAATTCACAGAATAAAATAGGAAACTATAAGTATATATAAATACATAATAAACATGTTGAAAGTTTGATGAACATCAGTAGCAGAACAAATTTAAATAGTGTGCTACCAGATGGGTACAATGAGATGAACAGAGCATCAGCTCTGTGGTATTCCTGAAAAAGGTCTATAACCTGAATCTCATCAAGAGGAGGCATCAAATAAACTAAAACTAAGGGACATTCTACAAAATAACTGGCCTGTAATCTTTACCAGCATCAAGATCTTGAGAAATCAAAGAAACACTAAGAAACCTTCACCAGAGTGAAGATTAAAGAGACATGACAACTACATGAAACCATTCTAAACTGGATCATTTTGCTATAAAGGAAATTACTGAGACAATTAAGGGAATCTTGAATGGGGTCTGAGGATTAGACACTAACAATTTTTCATTAGTTTCCTGCTTTTGAGTACTGCAATCACCTAAGAGAACATCACTGTTTGCAGAAAATACACATAAAATATTCAGGGGTTGCCCTGCTGGTTTGGCTCAGCAGTTAGAACGTCCGCCTGCAGATTGAAGGGTCTCAGGTTCAATTCCCAGTCAAGGGCATGTACCTGGGTTGCAGGTTTGATCCCCAGCCCTGGTGGGGATCATGTGGGAGGCAACCAAATGATGTCTCTCTCACATTGATGTTTCCCCCTCCCTCTGTCCCTCTTTCCCTTCCATTTTATTTTTTTAAAATGGAAAAATATCCTCAGGTGAGGATTAACAACAACAACAAAAAATTCAGGGGTGCCCAGCCAGTGTGGCTCAGTGGATTGAGAGTCATCCCATGGACTGAGAGGTCCCAGTTTGATTCCTGGTCAGGGCACGCACCTGGGTTGTGTGCTCAATCCCCAATGGGGGGCATGCAAGAGGCAGCCAATTGATGTTTCTCTCTGACATGGATGTTTCTCTCTCTCTCTCCTCCTTCCATTCTCTCTAAAAAAAATCAGGGCAATGGGCATCAGATAGGCAATCTACTCACAATGGTTCAGGAAAAAGAAATATTATCCATAGCGTACCTGCAAATTTTCTGCAAGCCTGAGATTATTTCAGATAAAAAAAATTTAAACACTATTGAAGAAAATCAGGAAAAATTGAATAAAGACTGTGTTTAGATTATTTGCATCATTATATAAGATGATATTAAGGAATTACTGGTAATTGAGTTAGATGGGATAATAGTGTTTTGGTTATATTCTCTAAAAGCCTTACTCATTGGACACAAACCTAAGTATCAATGGGTAAAATGGTATGATGTCTAGAACATGCTTTAAAATGATTCAGAAAAGAACACGATGCAGATCACACTGAATGCTGGCAAGGATGTGGAACAACTAGAGCTCTCACACTGGTGGTAGGGGTGCAGCCTGGCACAGTGATTTTGGAAAACTGCTTGGCAATATGTTACTAAGGCTGAACATAAGCACATCCTATAGTATTCCATTCCCAGGTATACAGTAAACATATGAATGCTTCCCTCCACCAAGACACATACAAGGATGTTTATGGCAGCACTATTTGAAATAGCCCGAACAGGAAACTGGCCAAATGCCCAGCAACAGTACAGTGGAAAACAGTGGTACAGTCACCTGACAGAATACCATATATTGAAGAGAATAAAAGAATTACCACTATACACAACAATATGGAAGACTTTCAAAGACAATGTTGAAAGAAAAAAGGCTCTCACAAAAGAGTATATACTATGTGATGCTATTTATTTATTTATTTTTGTTTGTTTGGTTTTTTTATCCTCATCCGAGGACATTTTTCCATTTTTTACTCAGATAGAGCGGGAAGGAGAGAGAGGAAGAGAGAGAAACATCGATGTGAAAGGGACACATCAAGTGGTCGCCACCCACACGACCCAACCAGGGCCGGGGACAAACTGCAGCCAAGGTACATGCCCTTAGCGGGAACTGAACCCGGGTCTCTGTGGACCGCAGGCTGATGCTCTAACTGCTGAGCCAAACCGGCCAGGGCTATGTGATGCTATTTAGATAGATTTCAAAAATAAGCAAACTAATCTAAGGTTAACAGGTCATGATTGTAGTGACCCTTGGAGAGGAAGGGTTTGTGAATAGAAGGAGCAAAGGGGGTTCTTCTGGGATGCTGGTAATGTTCTGTCTCTTAATCTTGGTGCTGGCCACAGGTTGTGAAAAATTTATCATTTTCTGTACATTTCTTTGTATACAAATTATACTTCAACAGAATGGTTTTTAAATCCTTCAATAAAATGTTTTTCTGTTTTTGTTTTTTTTAAAAAGGAGGGGGAACAGATGCAACAAAAAGGACAGAAAGTTGATCACTAATAAATGTGTCATGGGTTCATTGTACTATCAACCCTACATTTAATTTTGGAAATTTCCTTAATATTTAAAAACAAATCAAGTCATAACAGTCTCCTGCTTAACTCTTCGGTGGCTTCCCCCAACACCTAGGTGAACACCTGAGCCAGTCACCCCGGCCTAGAAGGCCCTACACACTCTGGTCCTGCCGCTTCTCTCACCTCATCTCCTGCCAGTTCCCACCTTGCTCACTCTGCCCCAGCGCTGCTAACCCTTCACCATATAGCCGATTCCTTAGAATCTGAAATGCACACTGTTTTAGTAGTGCTTTTATTTTTTTATCCTCACCTGAGGACACTTTTTGCATTCATCTTCAGATACAGCGAGAGGGAGAGAGGGAGGGAGAGAGAGAGAGAAACATCAATGTGAGAGACAGACACACATCAACTGGCTGCCACCCACACGACCCCAATCGGGGCTGGGGACAAACTGCAAATTGAGGTACACGCCCTTAGCGGAAACTGAACCCGGGTCTCTCTGGACTGCAGGCTGACGCTCTAATCACTGTGCCAAACTGGCCAGGGATTAGCAGTATTTTTAAAAATCAAGTAGCCAGCCCTGGCCGGTTTGGCTCAGCAGTTAGAGCATCGGCCTGTGGTCCGGAGAGACCTGGGTTCGGCTCCCGCTAAGGGCATGTACCTTGGCTGCGGTTTGTCCCCGGCCCTGGTTGGGTCGTGTGGGTGGCAGCCACTCAATGTGTCCCTTTCACGTCGATGTTTCTCTCTCTCTCTCTCCCTCCTACTCTATCTGAACAAAAAATGGAAAAATGTCCTTGGGTGAGGATAAAAAAATAATAATAATAAAAAAATAAATAAAAATCAAGTAGTCAAAGCCTATACTTAAAATATAGAAACAGTTGGATAATTCTGCTTTCAAAGTACTAAATTGTTTTATACATTAGGCATCTATTATATTTTTTTAGACTCATATTAAATGTTTTCCAACTCACAGGCTGTTTTTAAAGTTTATCAATAAGCCTTGGCCAGTTTGGCTCAGCAGTTGGAGTGTCAGCCTGCGGACCAGAGTCCTGGGTTCGGTTCCCGCTAGGGGCACGTACCAAAAATAAATAAATAAATAAAATTAAATGAAGTTTACCAATAGCCCTGGCTGGTTTGGCTCAGCAGTTAGAGCGTCAGCACGCAGACCAACTTAGGTTCCAGTCAAGGGCATGTACCTTGGTTGTAGTTCAGTCCCCGGTCCTGGTCAGGTCATGCGAAGGCAACCAATCAATGTGACTCTCTCACAACGTTTCTCTCTCTCCCTCACACTCTATCTGAAGATAAATGGAAAAATAGCCTTGGGTGAAAATTTTAAAAAATAATAATAATGAAATAAACAAATGTTTACCAATATATTACAATGGAAATTTCCCTCACATGTTTAAAATACTGTAAAGCTTTGCATTTAGCCAAGATTACACAATATGATTAAGTTAAAAAAATTATTACCATTAACTGCTTATTAACTTCAGTAGAAACCTCCAATGTATCTGCAATATTGTGAGGAAACATGGGTAAAAAGATTGGCTCCTTTTATTCACTATAAAACTTTAAATTTGAAAATTAAGTGTATCTTTAGAGGATTCAATATAAGTTCAGAGGCAGACTTTCTAGGCATATTTTCTTATATCACAGAGTAAGGCTATTAACAAAGGCATACAAAGTTTGAAAATTCCACAATGATTTGCAAATGTCTTGCACATGATACTAACCTGTACCTCTGAAAATCTCCATGCCGTAAGCCATGCTGCTGCTGGGATTCCTTAATAATCTGAAGAACTAGAGCCAAGATTAAGGAAAAGCTTACAATGGCAAGAACCCAAATAAATCAAAATATGTTCCCATTAGTCTATCTTTGTATCAAACCACAGCACATTACAAACATTTCTGAAATACTAAGCAAATTAACCAGTGAAACCATTTCAATAGCTATCTTGCCAAAGGACAGGGCTAAGCGCATAGAAAAGTTCATTGCCTTAACTATTACTACTTTTAAACTAAAAAAGGAATCCATACTAGCCATTAAGGATTACTGAAACTCAACAGTTTAAATAAAGCTGCTGGATTCTAAATGCTGACTGTAATTGGGGTGGTTCCCACTGATTTACACCTGGACCCAGCAATGTACTCATTCAAACAGATTCGGGCTATAAATGACATGTATTACTCCTCTACTTGCATAACCTCCTACATATGCCAAACCTTAACAGCTATAATGCTGCATGAGCCAATGGTTAGCACATGCCAACCAAAGTAAGTCCACAGTCTACATAAAAATATTGAAGTTTTTCTTTTGAAAGAAAAAGCCCTGCCCTGGCCGGTTTGGCTCAGTGGTTGGAGCGTCGGCCTGCGGTCCTGAGAGACCCGGGTTCGGTTCCTGCTAAGCATATACCTCGGTTGCAGTTTGTCCCCGGCTCTGGTCAGTCGTGCGGGTGGCAGCCACTCAATGGGTTTCTTGCACATCGATGTTTCTCTCTCTCTCTCTGTTCCTCTCTCTCCCTCCCACTCTACATGAACAAAAAATGGAAAAATGTCCTCAGGTGAGGATTAAATAAATAAATAAATAAATAAAAAGCCCTGCCCTGGCTGGTTTGGCTCAGCGGTTAGAGTGTCCGCCTGCGGTCCAGAGAGACCCGGGTTCGGTTTCCACGAAGGGCGTGTACCTCGGTTGCAGTTTGTCCCTGGCCCTGGTTGGTCGTGCGGGTGGCAACCACTCAATGTGTCCTTTTCACGTTGATGTTTCTCTCTCTCTCTCTCTTCCTCCCACACTATCTGAACAAAAAATGGAAAAATGTCCTTGGGTGAGGATAAAAAATAAAAATAAAATAATAATAATAAAAGAAAAAGCCCTGACAAAACCCTCCTTTTTAAGAATCTTAAAATATTTTAACATCATGTACCAAACTTTAGAAAGTCCAGTGACCTTTATCTACAATTTTAGTTTTCTTTTAAAGTTTCCTCAATGCTTCTCTATAGGTATATTCTAAAATACTGAAAACTAAAAAGGACTACTATTTCAATAACTAAAAAGGGGCAAGGAGACAGAAGGTCGGTAGTAACATCAAGCTGTCGTAACATCCATTTGGAACTATACCACCAGTTCAAGTAAAACTCCAACCCCTTGAAAAGTCAACTACAGCCCTGGCCGGTTTGGCTCAGCGGTTAGAGCGTTAGCCTGCGGTCCGGAGAGACCCGGGTTCGGTTCCCGCTAAGGGCACGTACCTTGGTTGCAGTTGTCCCCGGCCCTGGTTGGGTTGTGTGGGTGGCAACCACTCGATGTGTCGCTTTCACGTCGATGTTTCTCTCTCTCTCTCTCTCCCTCTCACTCTATCTGAACAAAATATTGAAAAATGTCCTCGGGTGAGGATAAAAAAAAAAAAAAAAAAAAAAAAAAAAAAAAGAAAAGTCAACTACATTAAGCTGTCAAGCTAAATGTGTTATTTCAGAAACTCAAGCCACATTTTCTCCATTTGCTATTTCACTTCAAAAGTCCACTAACTAGTGTCATCAGCACTCAACTGTGATTAGACTCTGATGGGAACCACAAATCGACTCCTTCAGCTCCCCTGAACAACTCTCAACAGGATAAAATGCCTCCAGGTCTATGAATAAAGCTATACAAGTGAAGCTAAAAAGCTTCGGCGATTTGCACTCAAAACGGGCAACACGCTTCTCAGAACAGTCCATCTTTGCCTTCACCTCCAGAACATCCATCCAACCGTCCGACAGCTGTCAGACAAAAGCATCAACCCAAAACGTCAAGACCGCAGTTTCCTCTGGCTAGTTCGGGAGCTGAAGGCGCCAGAGCAGCAGCTCCCTGGGCTGGCCAGTGTCACCTGCCCCCCAACTGGGCAGCTGCGGGGAACGTGCGGAAATCTGCTCAATAACCCGGTGCCACCTGAAGAAAAGGGCAGTCCCCAGCGTGGAGGGAGAAAAACCGCCCAAATGACAGATCCTGGAACTCTGAGTGTCACAAAGTAAGGGCGAGAGAAAGTGCAGCCCTCGGCATCTCCTGCCCGGGGCCCGCGGGGACCCGCGGGGACCCGCCGCCTCTCCCGCCCCCGGCCCGCCAGAGCGACACGTAGTCATTCCAAGTTAGGCCCGATGACTCTAGGATACTCTCCAAACTCAGGCTGTCCCCGAATTCTTTGTTTGCCTTCGATCCGGCAGAAGGTCGTTCGTTCTCCTTATTTTCTTCTCCTCCGGCACCGCGCCCACTGCCGCCACCGCCGCTGCCTCCGCCGCCGCTGCCGCCGCCGCCGCCGCTGCCCCCGCCGCCAGGAACCTGTTTCTCAGCAGCCATCTTGCCCCAGCGCCGCAGAGCAGGACGGGATAGAGGAGGCGTGACGACCGCGGCAGGAGAGAGTGGAACCAGCCAGGACGGGCTGACGGGATAGCAGCGGACTCCTCCGCCACGTCCCTGCCCGCAGGCAGCGGCCACTTGTTGCAGCGCGCCTGCGCGTGGGCTCGGATTCCTGGTCCCCAATTGTGGGGGAAGGGGCTGAGGGTTCCCAGGCGCTGGAGGATCGTAGCCACTGAGGTTTTCTCCGGGGCAATCCCACCTCCAGTCTACCAAGGGCGGAGGGCTTGGAGGTGGAACCCCACCTCTTGCACCCTTGCTCGGAGGATCCTGCTTGCATCCAGCGCACAGAGGCCTGGGGCGGGTGGCTACGGACTTTGGATTTCGGGGTGTCTACCTCCCCCGGGGCTCGGGAGATGGAGTGCCCACCTACAGGAAGGAAGCACCCCGCCGGTGAGGGCCTGGAAGGGCGAGAATTGTTGAGACTAAGGATCTCTGCTCTGCAATATAGCACTGCAGGCTCTGGAGTCTTAGTCTGCAGGTCCAATCCTGTCTCCACTGTTATTGGTTAGGAGATGTTGGGCAAATAACTTCCACTCCCTGACACCTTTTCCCTCATCTGTGAAATGGGAATAACCAATTAAAATTACGAAGATTAAACGAACTGATGCATTTTACTTTATTATTATTTTTTATCCTCATCCGAGGACATTTTTCCATTTTTTGTTCAGATTGAGTGGGAGGGAGAGAGAGAGAGAGAAACATTGACGTGAAAGGGACACATTGAGTGGCTGCCACCCGCACGACCCAACCAGGGCCGGGGGACAAACTGCAACAGAGGTACGTGCCCTTAGTGGGAACCGAACCTGGGTCTCTCTGGACCGCAGGCTGATGCTCTAACTGCTAAGCCAAACCGGCCAGGGCAACTGATGGATTTTAAAGGAAGTCTCTGCTCAACACCTCTAATCAGTAGGGAAATGCAAATCAAAACCACAATGAACTATCACCTCACACACATTAGGATGGTTACTATCTTAACAAAGTAACATGCACTGGTGAGGATGTGGAGAGATTGGAACCTTGTGGGAGATGGTGTGATGGTTCTTCAGAAAAATTAAAGAATTACCGTATGATTGAGCAATTCCACTTCTGAGTGTATATCCAAAAGAACTGAAAGCAGCGTTAGATATTTGTGCACTCACATTCATAGCAGTAAGGTTGCTGTTTGATCTCCGGTGAGGGCACATGCAATGAAGCAATCAATGAATGCATAAATAAGTGGGACAACAAATCTCTCTCTCTCTTCCTCTCTCTCTAACAATCAATAAAAATACTGTCTAGTATGTCTCAGATGGTTGAGCTTCGTCCCATGGACTGAGAGGTCCTGGTTCAATTCCTGGTCAGGGCACATGCCTGGGTGATGGGCTTGATCCTCAGTGGGGTGTGTGCAAGAGGCAGCCAATCGATGTAACTCTCTCACATTGATGCTTCTATCTCTCTCTTCTTTCCTCTCTCTCTAAAAAATCAATAAAACCATATTAAAAAAATAAAAATAAATAAAAACGTGCAAGAGATTTATTCTAAGAATCAATAAAAGCCCAGCCAGTGTGGCTCAGTGGTTGAGCATCAACCCATGCACCAAGAGGTCACCTGTTCCATTCCTGGTCAGGGCACATGCCCAAGTTGTGGGCCAAATCCCCACTGGGGGGCATGCAGGAGGTGGCCATTCGATGTTCTCTCTCATTGATGTTTCTCTCTCTCTCTCTCTCTCTCCCCCATACTCTCTCTATAAAATCACTAAAGAAAAAAATTAATTCTCCACTGAAAATGGCATGGCCTTGCTCCAGAACTCAAGGAGCTTCTATTATTAATTTTTTAAAAATCAATAAAAAAATTAAAATTAAAAAAATAGAAGTGGTATGTCCATACAGTGGAATATAATTTGGCCATATAAAGCAATGAAGTACTGATACATACATGCTACAACATAGATGAGCCTTTAAAATATTATGCTAACTGAAAGAAGCCACATAAAAGGCTACATATTGTATGCGTCCATTTATATAAATGTCCAGAATAGGCAAATCTATAGAGACAGGCAGTAGTGGTTGCCTAGGGCTGAGAGCGGGGGTGGAGATTGGAGACTGATGGCTAAAGGGCAGAAGTTTCTTTAGGGAGGAATGGAAAATATTCTAAAATTGTTTGTGGTGATGCTTCTACAAATCTGTGACTGTAATAAAAACCAAATAAAGTCCAGCTGGTGTGGCTCAGTGGTTGAGCATGGACCATGCATCAAGAGGTCGCCGGTTCGATTCCCGGCCAGGATGCATGCTCCAGTTGTGGGACAGATCCCCAGTGGGGAGCACGCAGGAGGCGACCAATCAATGTTCTCTTTCATCGATGTTTCTATCTCTCCTTCTCTCTCTAAAATCTATAAAGAAAAAACTAAGACTTTAAAAGGGTAAACAGCATGGTATATAAAATATATTTCAATAAAGTTTTTTTAAGTAAGTCAGATTGGTTTAGCCCTTTAGTCAAAACTCTGCAGTGCCTCCTCGTTTTACTCACTGTCCTTACAATGGAGAAAAGCCCCACATGCTATGTATGCGTCTTACCTCCTCTCCTGCCAATCTCCTTCCTGTTCATTCAGTGCAGCCATCCCAGCCTCCTTGCTTAGGGACCCAGCACCTGGTGCTGTGGGTCCAGCACTGGCTGTTCTCTATTTGGAATGTTCTTCTTCTAGATATCTGCTAACCTGGCTCCCTCACCTCCTTCAAGTCTATGCTCACATGTCGCCTTCCTAATGAGGTCTGCCTGACCATTCCATTTTCAATTGTACCTTCACCACTACCCCTCTACTCTCAAATCCCCTCACCCTGATCTAGTTTGCCTGCAAGTACTTATCAACTTGGAACAGAGTAATAACTTACTGGAGTTATGTTCATTGTGCATCTCCCCTGCTGAAAGGAAGCTCACGGAGGGCCTTGGTCTTTGTAGGGCTCGCTGGTAGATCCCAAGCACCCAGAACAGTGCCTGGAAAGGGAGTATGTGCTTAATAAATACTGAATAAATGAATGACAAGCATCTCATAAATATGAACTGTTATTATCTTCCAATTCAATGAAAAGGTGGGCAGGGCAGGGGTGTGAATAAGGTTTTCATATCCACAGGAGCAGGTAGCTGGGCTCCTGAGGCTGAGATTCTGGGGGGTGAGGGGAAGAGGAACAAGAATGGTCTTGACTGGGAGCCAAGGAACAGGGCAGGGAAAGGTGAAGCAGAGATCAAGCTACAAAGACAGAAGGTGGTGATTTTCATACCCAGTGAACTGAGGGGTTTCAATTCTGTAGAAACAGTAATGATTCCATGTCACAAACACTTGATGACTAATAAGTCAAAATTAAAAACTATTAATTAGCCCTGGCTGCTTTGGTTCAGCGGTTGGAGTGCTGGTCTGTGGACCAGAGAATCCCAGGTTCAGTTCCCGCTAGCCACAAAACTATTATTTAAGTTTATTTCTTTTTTTTTTTTTTTTTTTTTTTATCCTCACCGGAGGACACCTTTCCATTCTTTGTTCAGATAGAGCAGGAGGGAGAGAGAGAGAGAAACATCGACGTGAAGGGACACATCGAGTGGCCGCCACCCGCACGACCAACCAGGGGGACAAACTGCAACCGAGGTACATGCCCCCAGCGGGAACCGAACCCGGGTCTCTCCGGACCGCAGGCCAACGCTCCAACCGCTGAGCCAAACCGGCCAGGGCTTAAGTTTATTTCTTACTTTCTTTCTTTCTTTCCTTTTTTTTTTTTTTGTTTTTTGTTTTTGGTTAATCCTCACCCGAGGATATTTTTCCATTGATTTTTAGAGAGAGTGGAAGGGTGGGAGAGAGAGAGAGAGAGAGAGAGAGAGAGAGAGAAACATTGATGTGAGAGAGACACATTAATTGGTTGCCTTCCTTGGTTGCTTCCCAAATGACCCAGGTACATGCCCTTGACCTGGAATCAAATCAGGGACCCTTCAGTCTCCAGGAGGATGCTCTAACTGCTGAGCCAAACCTGTCAGGGTAAAGTTTTATTGCAACCTAAACGCCCTTCTGGCCATCTAGGGAAATGCTGCTGGTGCATGGAACTCTGCTACTTTGTAGTAAAGTTTTCCCTTTCTGGATATCTGTCTAGCCTCAGGAGAAAGGGAAGAATTTGATTCATTCAGATTCAACTAACTGGCTTGAAGCCACTCAGACACATCTCATTCCATTCTCCCCAGAGACCTCTGAGGTGTTGTTATCCCATATTACAGCTGAGGACATTGAGGCATAACGCCAAGGACAGAGTCTGACACACAGGAGATGCTCAATAAATACTATTTATTGGGTTGAATTGGAGGGAGAAACTTTCAATGGAGAAGAGAAGGAAATGGGATGAAGTTAACCAAATTCCCTCATCTCCATGGTGCGCTCTGGGGTCTCAGGTCTCGTGTGAGGCGCGGTGCTCCTGGGAATTACGAACGGGAAGAGGCATGGGGTACACCGCAGGGCCGACCCACTCGCCAGTTCTGGAAAACCGAGGCCCCACTGCCTCCACTTCCTGTCACCTCCCCAGCACCACCGCTTAGCACCCGCCCGGAAATCTTCCCTGGACGCCCCAGCCGGTCCGGGAAGGTCCGACGCGCCCACTGGGCTCCAGGGAAGTGCTAGGCGCGCTGGGCACCGGGCGAGCGCTCCCTCCACCGCTCCTGCGTTCGCCGGGGGCGAGGGGGGGTAGGTCAGTTCGCTGCTCAGCCCGGTACAGCCCAGACCCGGGGGCTGGAGCGCGCCGACGACACCCGAGGCCCCTGCGCCCCGGAGTTGGGGTGCTGGTGCCTCGGCCCGGACGCGCCACGGCCATTCGATAGTCCTTCCCGCCCCCCGCGCGGCCAGACGCCTGCGGGGCGGGGCGGGGGGGCATCCCACCTCTCCAGCTGCTCGCTCCTCCCCCTGGGTCCAGCACACCCGGGGCTCCAGCTCCAGCCGCCGAGAAGCTCTCCCGCCTGCAGCTCCGCGGAGTCGTGCTGTGCGCTGCAGCAGGGGGGCAACAGGGGCCCCACGCTCGCCAGGACTCAGACGGCTGCAGGAGCCAGGGTAGCCTTGCGTTCGGCTGCGCCATGAATGACTCGGGCGGCCCTGGGGCCCAGGACGCCAGTGAGGCGGGCGGCGGGGGCAGCTGGCAGCCCGAGGCGGTCATCGTGCCCATGCTATTCGCGCTCATCTTCATCGTGGGCACCGTGGGTAACACATTGGTGCTGGCCGTGCTGCTTCGCGGAGGCCAGGCGGTCAGCACCACCAACCTGTTCATCCTCAACCTGGGCGTCGCCGACCTGTGTTTCATCTTGTGCTGCGTACCCTTCCAGGCCACCATCTACACCCTGGACGGCTGGGTGTTCGGCTCGCTGCTCTGCAAGGCGGTGCACTTCCTCATCTTCCTCACCGTGCATGCCAGCAGCTTCACGCTGGCCGCAGTCTCCCTGGACAGGTGAGCAAGTGCCCTGGAAGCCCAGGGGCCGGCACCCAGGCCGGAGCAGGACTGTGGGGTCAAAGAGAGAAAGACAGAGCCCTAGGTTCCTAAGTGGTTAGAGCATCCACTGAGCACTGAAGGGTCACAGGTGCGATTCCCTGCCGTTGGGGTGAGTGCAGGAGACAACCAATTGATGCGTCTCTATCATCTCTCTCTCTCTCTCTCTCCCCCTCTCTCTCGTCCTCCCTCCCTTCCACCCTCTCTAAAAATCAGTGGGAAAAAAATATGCTTGGGCGAGGATTAACAAAAAAAAAAAAAGGAAAGGAAAGCCATACAGAGAATAGAAAAGGACTCTAAGAGGGCAGAGGGACCAGGAGGGAATGAAAGAGAAGGCGGAGAGTTGGAGAAAAAGGAGTAAGAGCGAGGGACCAGGGTGTCCCTCTATTAGGTGCGTCCTTGGGGCTGCAGGCTGGAGACCTCAGCTCTCTAGCGCCGCCGGCACCCGGCAAAGCACAGCGTTTCTGGGTACAAAGCGTTTTCCCGTGCTTGGTCTCCCTGAGGCTCAACGTCCCCGTGAGATTGGAGTGGGAGGGATTATTGTGCTCAATTTACAGATTTGCTCAGAGTCGCCCATTCAGTAATTGTGTGCGGGAAGCCAGCAGTCTCCTGGCGTCAAACACAGTTTTGAAGCCATGTTTTGCTCGGCGCACTCGACTGCGGTCAGGACTGTGGAATCTGGGTCCTTTGAGGGGGCCCATGTCAAAGTCTGAGCGAGCAGGCCCGAGGACCCCTCGGTCGGTCCCATCTCTGCACCCCCACCTCCAGACCCCGGTCAAGGGCGGGGAGAGGAGCGTGTCCAAGCACGTCCACCCTCCAAGCCAGAGTTTAGGACACTTGGATGATTCTTGGGGAGGAAATACGGCTCTGACTACAGTATCTCTCCGCCCCCGCATGTCTCTGTCACCCCTGGAAAAGCAGCCAGGTGAGGCCACATTCCGCATATACCTCCCAGTTCACTGAACGCGGCCTGTGTCGGTCCCAAGAGCGCTGGTGGGACCCATAGAGCGTCGGCTTCTCTAAGCAGATTCCTCGAGGTACCTTGCCGGACGTGTTTTCAGGCTGTCTGCTACAGCCTCAAGGCGCCTGGGTCCTACCTCTCCGGCCCCGGCACTGGTGGGTAATCACAGCCTCCCGGTGCCCCACAGCCGGTTCAGCCTTCACGGTGCCCTCTTGGTGAAGTCCGACTGTGGTAATAGTCCCGGAAAGAGCAGATGAGTGGCCTAAGCGTGCGCCTTTCCAGTTGTTGCGTCTCTCCCACGTCTAGAGTGTGCGGGATGCACTGGGTCGCCCTCTGGGTGTGTGCGGTGTGACAGTGCACGGAGGACCTTCCTCGAGAGCGGGTGTGAGGCTCGAGGTGTAAAGGTCCGGGCTTGCTCCCACGAATCTCCCTTCCTGGCCTGACCCGCAGGTATCTGGCTATCCGCTACCCGCTGCACTCCCGCGAGCTGCGCACGCCTCGCAACGCGTTGGCGGCCATCGGGCTTATCTGGGGGCTGTCGTTGCTCTTCTCTGGTCCTTACCTGAGTTACTATCGCCAGTCGAAGTTGGCCAACCTGACCGTGTGCCACCCGGCGTGGAGCGCGCCTCGACGCCGCGCCATGGACCTCTGCACCTTCGTCTTCAGCTACCTGCTGCCGGTGCTGGTGCTCGGCCTGACCTACGCGCGCACTCTGCGCTACCTCTGGCGCGCGGTTGACCCGGTGGCCTCCGGCTCCGGCGCCCGGCGCGCCAAGCGCAAGGTGACGCGCATGATCATCATCGTGGCGGCGCTCTTCTGCCTCTGTTGGATGCCTCACCACGCGCTGATCCTCTGCGTGTGGTTCGGCCACTTTCCACTTACGCGCGCCACCTACGCGCTGCGCATCCTCTCGCACCTGGTCTCCTATGCTAACTCATGCGTCAACCCCATCGTCTACGCGCTGGTCTCCAAGCACTTCCGCAAGGGCTTCCGCAGGATCTGCGCGGGCCTGCTGCGCCGCGCCCCGCGCACAACCTCGGGCCGCGTGTGCGTCGCGGCGCAGGGCACCCGTGGCGGCAGCCTGCTGGAGCGCGAGTCCACTGACCTGACGCACGTGAGCGAGGCGGCCGGACCTTCCGCCTCCAGGCCGGTTCCTCCTAGTGTCCCGGCCTCGCGCCAGGTGCCGGGCCAGTCCTGGCTGGACCCAAAGGCCTCCAACGGCATTCTGACAGTTAATATGACTTAAACGCACTTAGGGGTACGTTTGTGTATTAAAGGATTGGAATCAGAGGTCGGGGATTCGTGGATGGAGTTTAGTCTGTTAATAAAATGCGCAAGCCCTTTCATGTGCCGTGACGCGCTGTGTCTCCGCGTATCCCATGAGGTTCTGGGTTGAGAAGCCTCTGGGACTTCAAAGGGAACGTTGGATGATTGCGTGCAGGTGCTTTCCTGAGTGAGGGGGAAAGAGGGCAGCCCACACGGAAGACACCCGAGTTAAAAATCTGCGTAGAAATTCCCAAAGGAGTGAGGCTGGGTGGGTGGGGAGCGCGCGACACGCGAAGGCTCTTTGCACGTGGCCATCTGGCAGCGCCAGGTGCATATAGATCGGCAAACCAGCCGCGGCCGATGCGTGTGACACAGGCAGGCAGAGTGTTTAAGCGCACTCCATAAACTCGGTCGATGATGGACACAGACACTATGTGTGTTCCTAAGGAGCGTTCGTGCGTCGGTGTGTGGCGTGTCCTCCTCCCCTACTCCCAGCTCCCCGAGTCTCTGCAGTCCTATCAGTGCCAACAGACTTTAAGACTTGGGTTTTCCTTCCCTAGCTGTAGTGATCTGGGATCAGGTCTCTAACAGCTGGGTTTCTCCTTTGGGCCATGAAAGTCGCTCCGCAGCCCCGCCGGGCCTATTCCAGGGCGCACACAGCAGTTCTAAGGCACTGCTGGTTAGGGCAGGCTGAGAATCTGGGCTTTGCTCATGAACTAGCCTCCACCTGTCCCCGCTTTGCCCCTCTCCTGGAGTCCTTGAGCCAGGGCTTTTTACATGAAGTCAGTTCAGTTTAAGGAGAGGCAGGAAAACTCTCAAAGCTGCAGGGCACTTTGACAAAGCTTGAGTTTTTTGCCAGGAGGGGACCCACTATGGAAACACAAAGGAGGCCATTGATATTTGCCTAGATTGGAAGGACCAAGTCAGGAAAGGAGCAGGTGGGATTGCGGGTGGTTCTGTGCTTGCCTGGCCCACTTAGCTGGCCTTCAATGTGGCAACCTGTTCCAGGTGGTGGAAATGGAGCGGGACAGGAAAGTCTAGGCAGGTGCAGGGCGGGCAGGGCTTGGCCCTGGGCTTTGTCTTCTGGTGTTTGCAGAACCCGGGGTGCGGGTAGGGGTGCCAAGCCCGAGGCTCCAGGGTCATTGCATAGAGCAGCTGCCTTGGCCAACTGCTCAGTCCCCCAGAGAAGTGACTGAAATAGAGGTTGCAGCTTCGGCGCCGGCTGCTCCATCCATCCTCTGTGCAGTCACTAATGATGGCCCCGTGGCTCCTGCCCTATCTCGCCTTGCTCAGACTTGGCACCACCAGGCCCCTGGTCCAGGGCCACGGCTTCCGTGCACCAGCAGTTGGTAGGTGGAAGGCCTAGGGTCATGAGCTTTGGGATCTGGGCCCCAAGGCACCCAGGTGACCTCGATCTCCATCCCTCAGCTTGGCCATCCTCCTTCGGCCTCAACTCACCCCTGGAGGTTCAGGAAACCATCCAGATTCCAAACAACGGGAGCGCAGCCCTGCTCGTGGACGTGCAGGTGTTTGTGACAAATGTGTTTAATGTGGTAAGTCCCCAGGCTGAGGAGGGGGTGGGGCCCAAGTGCTGAGCTGGGAATAGGACAGGCTCAGTCCCTGGAGGGCTGCTGTCTCCTGCCTTGTTTTGTGATGGAGCAAAGTGGCCAACCCCAGGTGACATGCTACCCCTCCCCCAGGACATCCTTCGGTACACCGTGTCCTCCATGCTGCTGCTTCGGCTGGTGAGAGCCCACTGGGTGGGGGTGGGGTGAGTGTAAAAGGGTGGAGGTGGGGCAGGAGAACTGGTTCTGAGTCTAGCTCAGAAGTACCGATTTTCATCAACCTGCCAAGCTGAGAGGCACGTATATACAGACAGCCAAAGCTTTAGTGGGGTCCTTGTGTCCCCAGTCCTGGCTGGACACTCGCCTGGCCTGGAATGCGAGTGTGCACCCACGGCGCGTGCTCACACTGCCCTGGGACTCACTGTGGACCCCAGGACTCACTATCCAAGAGGCGTAAGTTCTCACCCCCGGAGCCACCATGGGTGTCCCTCTTAGTGAAATCCCTCTCCTGGTGCCCCCACAGAGCCTCACTGCCCACGTTCCCCTCACTGCTCCCTTTTGGAACCCCGAGGCCAGGGGATGGCAGCTGGGTGTGTGCCGGGGCCTCCAGCTGCTCCCCCTTCAGGGAGGGGCTGGGCCTCTGGCTGTGGTGCCTTTCCCCTCCCCGCAGGCTCTGGGTGGACTGGCAGAACCCGAGCCCGCAGGCCCAAGTGGACCAAGATGGCCACGTTGAGCTCTACCTGGCCCTCACCACGGAGACCAACTGCGACTTTGAGCTCCTCCACTTCCCCAGAGACCAGAGCAACTGCACCCTCAGCTTCTACGCTCTCAGCAATACTGGTGCTGACCCAACAGGAGCTGGGGGAGGGGGGCCCTGGCCTCGGGGTCTTACACAGGGTTAGCCCAGGGACGTGGGCCTCCGGGTCCTACACAGGGTTAGCCCAGGGACGTGGGCCTCTGGGTCTTACACAGGGTTAGCCCAGGGACGTGGGCCTGTGTTCACAGCAGTTTCCCCAGGCTGAGGGGAGCTGAGGGCCCGGAAGCAGAACAGGCTTCTCGCTCTGCACCGCCCATTCGAACCCCAGTGCTCCCTGCTCTTGCTGTGCCCCGTCTGTCTTCTCTCCCGGCAGCGACCACAAAGCAACTGCCCTCAGTAGCCAGGGCCAAAGGGCAGTGGCTAGGCCACTGGTGTCAGCTCAGGCCACTGCGGCCTCATCCCTGGACACATCCTGAAGGGGCAGCCACTCAGTAAACACCTCACAGACCAGGCAGGTGCCCAACTTGGCAGAGAAGTGCACCCTCCCCCCCCCCCCTCTGGGAAACGCCGCGGCTGGCGCCCCACGAACCCTAGTGTTCAGATGTGAGATGGCACTGGAGTCTGCAGTCCCCCCCCCCGCCCCCGCCCAGGAAGCGGTGCAAAGTGCATGTATTTTACAGTGAAAACTCATATCCTTCCTCCAGCTGAGGGAGACCTGGGGGTGGGGAGTGCAAATTCGGGTTTGGAAAGCCCTTGCATGGACCAGTTTCATCTCCGGGTCTGCCCCCAGCAGCCATCAGAAGTCTCCATCATCCCCGGGTACCAGCTTGTCCTGCCTCTACTCCCGAGAGCTCTGGGGGCAGGTGCACCTCCGTTCAGTTCTCTCCCCTCTCCTCTGCCAGCGACGGAGCTCGAGTTCCAGGCCCACGTGGTGAACAGAATTGTGAGTGTCAAGAGGGAATATGTGGTCCGGGACCTGCAAACACAAGTCCCACCCCAGCAGCTGGTGCCCTGCTTCCAGGTGACGGTGAGCCAGGAGGCAGCCGAGGCGTGAAGGGTGCAGAGCCAGGGGCATTGCCTTTCCCTTCCCACTCCCACACGTCCCCCCGAAAGCCCTAACTCCCTTCCTTCCAGTTGCTCCTACAGAACACAGCCCTCAAGACCATCATAGCCCTGCTGGTCCCTGGAGAAGCGCTGCTGTTGGCTGACTTGTGCGGGGGGCTGCTGCCCCTCCAGGCCACGGAGCGCACTGCCTACAAGGTGACCCTGCTGCTGGGCTACCTGGTCTTTCACTCCTCCCTGGTGCAGGCCCTGCCCAGCTCCTCCTCCTGCAACCCGCTGCTCAGTTAAGTCCTGCGCTCTCCCGGCCTGGGCAGGACCACCCTGCGGGCCGCCTCCTTTCTCCCTCTGCTCAGCTCCCTGGGGGCTGGAGGCACAGGCCTGGCCCCTGACCTTTGCCTCTGCCTCTCCCCAGTTTACTACTTCACCATCCTGCTGCTGCTGCTCTTCGTCAGCACCATGGAGACCGTGCTGCTGGCAGGGCTGCTGGCCCGGGACCACCTCAGGGCCGAGAGAAGCCCCAGCCCAGCCAGGGGAGGGCAGCAGCACGATCCTGACAATGGAGGGCCTAATCCTGAAGGTGGGCAGGGGCTAGGGCCCTTCCTGGGGGGAGGGGGGCTGAGGAATGAGACTAGGAGACTAGGAGCAGGCTTGGGCAGTTGGCAGGCTGCACCCCTGGGGCTGGGGTGGGGGGCCGCTGGGCTTTTCAGAGTCTCCTTGCACTCACTCTGCTGGCCACGCTGGCCCTGGACTCTGCCACGTGGGCTCTGGCAAGAGGATCTGGAGCAGGGAGCACGGTCAGCTTCCCTGAAGGCCGGGCGACTCCAAACTTCCTGATAACCGTGCCTTGCGGAGCATCTCTAGCAGGGGCTTTCTTCAACTCAGATGGCCTGGAATGGGCCAGACCCAAACACTCACTAGTCATGAATGTCAAGGAGAAATATGGCCAAGGGTGCCTGGGCCCGCTGCCCGGCTCCGGGAGAGGGTGTGGAGGAAGCCCTGAAGCACAGCCCCTTCTGCCTCTGCCACAGAAGCCACCCGAGCCACCGGCACATGGAGGAGCTGGGCTGAGGCTGCCGACCACGCCTTCTTCCTGCTGTACGTGGCAGGGGTGGTGTGCAGCCAGTTCATCTTCATTGGACTCTGGATGTGGGCGACATGCAAATCCGACCCAGCCCCAGGCAAGGCCGCACCCCACGGTGGGCAGCCCAGGCTGTAACAGGGCAGGGCCCGGCTGCAGACCTGGGGGAGGGCCATGACAGGGACAGAGGGGGAGAGAGGTCGCCTCTTCCCTAGGCCTGGAGGACCCAGGCTACCCTGAGCTCTCCCTTCTGTTAGTCTGCTAAAACGAGCATGGAATAAACCTGTCACCCAAGGGCAAGCGCACCCCCGGGGTCTGTTTTTACTGAGCTCAGCTGTTCACTCTTGTTCTAGGCAGGTGAGGCCCACCTCACACCCCCACGCTCTCACTCCACTCCTGAACTTCTCACCAGTGGCCACCATCACCCCCGCCCCCCACCTGCCTAACTGTTCCTTCGACTACTGCTGCTTGGCCGGGGCCAGGAGGCGCCAGGGCCGCACAGGGTGGTCAGTTCCTCCGAACTGCTGCGGTGTGCGGGCCGAGGGAATGGCGAGCACTCCCGGGGGACGGACGAGCCAGCCCTCAGGATGCGGGCTTGGGGCATGTTTTCTGCCGAATCCCGAGAGCAGGTCGATCCTGCTCGCTTTTCCTCCAGGCCCTCTGCTGCGACGTGGCCTGTGCTCACCCACGTCTGAGCCGGAGGTGGCGTCTCCAGCCCCACTGTGACCTGGGCTGGCTGTGGGTCGTTCTGCCTCCTGCTCGTGTTCACGAGGCAGCTATGGGCAAGGCCTTGTCTTCCTCTCTGTCCTTCCCTGTCTTGAAGCCATCACATGGCCCCTGCAGGCTGAGGCCAGGGACACAGAACCTGAGGTGGGCAGGAAGCCCGGCGCTAGGAGCGTGCTGGTTTGGTGGAGGATAGGGGTGCGGGAAGAAGCACAAACCAGGACTCGAGGGCCCAGGGACAGGGCTCCTGGCCCAGGCGGCGAAGAAACGTCCCTGTTCCAAAGGACACCAAACTCACCCGGCCCAGAGGCAAGTTAACACTGGTTTATGTGTCCAATGACATGCTGTCTGGTGCAGCCAGGCAGGGAGAGGAGCCGGCTCAGGCGGAGGTGTCAAAGAGGCGATCGATCATGTCGCCCACCTGCTCCACGCGGTACTTGATGTACTTCTCGGGGTTCTTGGTGAAGGGCACGCTGCCATACCTGACCAGGCACTGCAGTCAGCTGGGAGGCTAGCTCCTCCCCGCTCCACCCCAGTCCAAGGCCCTGCTGGTGGGGTGTCCCTGAGTGATGTTTCTGCCTGGCCCCACACCAATACCCAGGGCACTGCACCTACCACCCAACCCCCCCCGTTTTCTGGAAGGGCGCAGAGCTGCAGACGGGGAAGTGGCGAGTATGGGGCTCACCTGTGCAGAAAGGCCCCGTAGGTCTCCTTGACAATGTGCTTCTGAGCTTGGCGGATCTTGTCCCTCTGCTCCGTGTCGGGGATAGCCCAGGCCTTCTGGATCTTGCACAACTCCTCAAGGCCATCATTGAAGCCCTGGCCACCAAAGAGGTGAAACGAGAAGTGACCCAGAGACAAACAATTGGGTCTGTGTCGCTACAACAGCAGCAGCAGCAAACAGTGGAGGGGACAGGGTCCCAACTCACCTTGAACCGCTCCTTGATCATCTGCCGCTCCTTGTCCCGGAGCTGGGGGCCAAGAAAGCTGTCCTCAGAGCGGGGTCGCCTGGCCCTGCTCCTCCCCAGCCCTCTGTCCTGCTGCTCTGATGGCCACAGGCGCCCTCTGCTCTCTCATCCCAGGGGACTCATCCGTTTTCTCCCAGAGACATGACAAAGTATCACATCTGCCAGACACCCGTTCCCAGCCCATGCCTTCAGCCCACCTTGACTCCCGGCTGGAACACAGGCAGGTTCTTCTCAGTGATGTAGTCAGTCACCTTTAACCAGCTGCTGGGAGGCAGAGAAAGGGCGGGAAGAGGGGCCACAGCCTCAGGAAGCTGCTTCTTCCTGGAGCTGCTTTGCTTTTCAAAACTTCCTGATCTACTGAGGGGGTGTGGGGAGGGCAGGGATTGATCTGGGCAAAACACAACTGAGGTTTTCTCTTGGCAATAGAAACTGTGTGAGTTGCTCACTTTTTAAATTAAGAACAGGGAACAGCATTCAATAAGTTGAACAAATACTACCAACTACGTTTCACAGCAACATCATGGCCAGTGAAGACGGAGAAGCAGGTGAGAAGGAGAGGAGGGTCAGAGGACAGATGGGGGAAGGAAGGAGGAGACATGTCGAGGGAAGGAACACCAAGGGACAGACACACACCCAGGAGCAGGGGGAGCCCTGCAGAGCACGCTCGGCCACGTTCAGGTGCTTTTGCAGCCTTGCTCTTCGCTCGGGCCAAACCTGACCCAATCTTTGACAGTCCGCCCTTCGACTACGCTTAGCTCCACCCTCTCGGGCAGGCAGACTACCCGCTGCAGAGGCTGGCACGGTGGCCCCCTAGGGAGCAGGCAGTGGTATGGCAGGGGGCTCCCACTGCCACCCCATGAATGTGATCACCAGACAAGCGGAGGAGCAGGGTCCACGGGGCAACAGTTCCCGGTACGGACCCCACTCTGACTGGGCCCGGTGTCCTGAGACTCACAGAAGGGAGCGTGAGCGGCGGGCGCAGGGTGGGGTGGGCAGGAGGGCCCAGCCTCTCACCTGCGCTGGTAGGTCTGGATCTGCTGCTCGATGTGCTCCCGGTAGGAGCGCTCAGCAGTCTTCTGGGTCACGGCCACCAGCTGGATCAGCTCCGACCTGGGGTGGGGGAGGAACAGGCTGGAGGGGACAGGCTGGCTCCCAGGGCCCACAGGCTGCGGCTTTGGCAGCAGCACCTGTGGGGCCTGCTCATCCCACCCCCCTTCGCGAGCGCTGAGAAGGCAGCACACACGCCCTGAGTCTGGGGGCAGCGAAGAGTCAAGCCCTGACACCCTGGGACACACGGAAGGCACGGCCAGCGGGGGCTGCTGACCAGCACCCGCGCCACCTACTTCTCCAGGGCCTTGAGGATGTAGTTGTAGCTGTTGTGCAGGAAGATGGCGCTCAGAGCTGGGTCCTCATACACCTTGGACTTGCTCAGCAAGTTCAACTGCAGGTTGCCCAGGACTTTACCTGCACAGGGGAAGGCGTGGCCACGCTCATATGGCAGTTTGACCAAAACAACCCAATCCCAGGACCCACAAACCAAGTCCACCTGCCATTCCTGTCCCTCCCCAACTCCAGGAGCCCTCTGCCCAGCCCCCCTAACCCTGAACCAGAGTCAGGTCGCAATGCCAAAGCGCGAGAGGAATCAGGAGCGTGACCAGCAACGGCGGGAGCACTCACAGATATAGGTGCTCAGCAGGCGCTTGCTGAACTCGGAGCTGTAGCTGCTGGCTGAAGAACTGGTCTCTGCAAGAGGAGAAGCCCTGCTACTGCAGCGGCAGCAGCCGAGACCCTCTCTGCCTTCCCTCCGCCCAAGGGACAACTGAGCCTCCTTCCTCTGGCTGATGGGACGGGAAGGAGCTTGGGGCAGAGCTGCTGCGTTCCAGGGCTCCTCGCCCGCTGCACGGAGCATTGCCTCGGGCTCTTTCTGGAGCCCCGGGCAAGCTTCTCTATGGTGACACGTGGCCCATGATCAGCAGAATGGCTGGCAGGACAGGAGTGGGACACCCCCTATCCTCCAACCCCAGACCTGTGCTGGGTGGTATCGAAGGCCCCCCCATCCGCTCTGTTGGTAGCAGAGTCAGAATGAGCTCCCATGGCCTCTCCCCCTCCCCCACTTCCCACCACCTCTACCATGCCCTGCTGAACGGGGGGACCTGCCCACCCAGAGTGGAAGGTGCTGGGCTGGGCTGAAGGGCGCTGGAGACAGACAGCAGGATGCTGCCCGGACAACCTGAGCCAGACAGTGGTGTGTGGAGCTGCGAGAGCTGCAAGCACCCTCAAGGGACCCCTGCGCCCTCTGCCCCGCTCCCCATCCGTCCTGAGTCTGTCCAGTTGCCTGTCCCCGGGGAACTTCACGCATGGGGCTTCAGAGAGGGAAGATGGGGCTGTGGAGCCCTACTGCTTACCTCGGGGGTCTAAAGGAATATTGTATGTGTCCCCGAGAACTACGGAGTGAAAGGCAGTGCGCACAGAGGGGAAGGGGGCAGAGACAAAGACGGGAGAAAGATGCAAAGTGCAAAAACAGGTTAGAAACAGCTGTGTCATCCCGAGTCCAGCAGACCACTCCCCACGACAGCCAGAACGGACAGCAGGACACACCCAGGCCAGACCTGCTGAAGCCCAGGGAACGCACAGGAAAGTGGAGGCGGAGAACCACAGGCCAGAGGCTGCCCCTGGCTCCTCGCCCTCCAATGGGAGAGCAGGGAGGGCCCGGGGCCCAGACCTGCGGGGCTGGGTCTCGTGCCTGGAACGACTGGAAATGCATGCGGCCGTGTGCCGACCTCAGGAAGACACCAGGCTGGCCCTGGGATGCAGCCTCTGAGTGCCAGCGGCGTGAGACTCATTAGGAGGAGAGGCAGACACAAGAGGAGGTGGAGAGATTCAGACAGAGGGCGGGGCAGGAAGGGCACCTTCAAACACAGGGTGCTCTCCAGAGGGAGCCGAGGGGGTAGAGGTCAGGTCAGGAAAGGCAGTCAAACCCCGCTGTCCTGACACTCAGCCCTCCCGAGGTCGACCTGGGGGCCCAACCAGCTCCGGGCCTGCCACAGGCCACATCACCACCCCACCCCACAGGCTGGAGGGAACGCCCTCACCAGAGGTGGCCATGCCTGCTGCGGGGCCAACCCATCGCCCGGCGGGGAGGCATGGGGCCGGGGCGCTGAGGGGCCGCGTACCTTGGGAGGCCAGCATGGCACCTGCCGTCTCCTGGAAGTCCAGGAGCTGTTGCAGGAAGAGGATGGCCTGTGCGGGGACATGGGGCCGGGACAGTCAGGGGCAGGCCCAGAGGCCACATCACCTCCCCCGTGACCAGACCAGGGCACGTGCAGGGCCAGGGCTCTGCCTGTGAAAAGGGCGGCTGGAAACTTCGTTCCATTTTGGGCCTGGCCTGAGGGAAGCCCAGCCTGCCAGAGTGCGAAGTACTTCTGGGTCCTGGTGCCCTGGGCCCCG